CTCAAGGCAGACATCCCACACAGCCAAGACGCCGTCCTGAGAGACAGCTGAGATTTAATAAATTCCTCAGGCTTATCTCACCTCAAGATAAATTCATTAAGTTCTCTGCTATAGTCTTCTTCTAATATCCCACAGAGCTTCTTCTTGGCCTCAAGAGCAAAGTTTCAAAAACAAGGCTGCTGAATGGATAAGAAAGCATTGTGTACATATACACAATGGAATATTACTCAGCCATTAAAAAGAATACATTTGAATCAGTTCTAATGAGGTGGATGAAACTGGAGCCAGTTTCATCTGGCTTACAGAGTGAAGTAAGCCAGGAAGAAAAACACCAATACAGTATACTAATGCATATATATGGAACTTAGAAAGGTGGTTAACGATAACCCTATATGCGAGACAGCAAAAGAGACACAGATGTATAGAACAGTCCTTTGGACTCTGTGGGAGAGGGCGAGGGTGGGATGATTTGGGAGAATGGCATTGAAACATGTATATTATCATATATGAAATGGATCCCCAGTCCAGGTTCAATGTGTGAGGCAGGGTGCTCGGGGCTGGTGCACTGGGATGACCCAGAGGGATGGGATGGGGAGGGAAGTGGGAGGGGGGTTCAGCATGGGGAACACATGTACACCCGTGGTGGATCCATGTCAATGTATGGCAAAAACCACTACAATATTGTAAAGTAACTAGTCTCCAATTAGAATAAATTTATATTAAAAATTAAAAAAAAATAAATTTTAGCATAGATTAGATAAAAAATAAAGATTATTTTATTAAAAAAAACAAACACACACAAGTCTGGGAACTGCACTGAAAGTTCCCATCCTCGTGCAAGGGAAATACCAGGAGAGAGGCTTTCACATTCTCTAAAGCACAGAGAACGCACACTCTAAGGAGCGAGGTGATGTGGAGGGCAGGAAACCCAGGAGATGGAAACCAGAAGGGAGGTAACTATTTTCACCCAGGACTCAGTTTCCTGTCAGGGTTCTGCTTCCAGGCTGGTGTACCTGCTATTGCCTGAAGCTATGGTTCCAACAGGAACTTCGAGTAAGATTTCAAAAACAAGCCTCTTCTTCATGTGGATGGTTGCATGTTCTTCAGTGCATCGAGCAATGGCTTCTAAGATAAGCAGAGAAGCAAATCCATGCAGACCAGCTCCTTCATGACGCCTGGGTGAGTAACCATTCCATCTTCTGACAACTCTAGAGGAGGAGCTCTGGAGCAGGTGAGCGTGCCTGCTGGTGGGCCAGGGAAGCCCACCTACACTGCCTCTCTTTTCTCGGGAGATGACTAAGTGCAAGTGGCTCAGAGCTCATTACAGGTGGATGATTAAGAAACACCCAACTGAGAAGCTGGGAATTAAAATTAGGTCTGTTCATTAATGTGATCCAGAAACCTTCGATTCTACTTCAGGATTGTTTTTTTTTTGTTTGTTTGTTTATGGAATCCAGAAATCATTTCAATCTCTCAAAGCTTCAATTTTCTTCTGAAAGAAAAGGCAAAAGGTATCTACTTTATAATGGAGTCTGGAGATTCAGCTGTGCATTCTTGGAACATCTGCCATCTCCACGAGGCAACTGTATCTCCAATGAGTTTTGGGCTCCAAAATCACTGCAGATGGTGATTGCAGCCATGAAATTAAAAGATGCTTACTCCTTGGAAGCAAAGTTATGACCAACCTAGATAGCATATTAAAAAGCAGAGACATTACTTTGCCAACAGAGGGCCGTCTAGTCAAGACTATGGTTTTCCCAGTGGTCAGGTATGGATGTGAGAGTTGGACTGTGAAGAAATCTGAGCGCCAAAGAATTGATGCTTTTGGACTGTGGTGTTGGAGAAGACTCTTGAGAGTCCCTTGGACTGCAAGGAGATACAACCAGTCCATCCTGAAGGAGATCAGTCCTGGATGTTCATTGGAAGGACTGATGCTGAAGCTGAAACTCCAGTACTCTGGCTACCTCATGCGAAAAGCTGACTCATTGGAAAAGACCCAGATGCTGGGAGGGATTCGGGGCAGAAGGAGAAGGGGACAACAGAGGATGAGATGGTTGGATGGCATCACTGACCCGATGGACATGAGTTTGAATAAGCTCCAGTGATGGACAGGGAGGCCTGGCGTGCTGCGATTCATGGGGTCACAAAGAGTCGGACACAACTGAGTGACTGAACTGAACTGAATGAATTTTGGGGGCCGGGATAAGGGAGCTAAATTTGACTCCCTATTCTCTTAACACTACTAGGAAAAGAATACTGTATGCCAGAATGAAAACAGAACGCATCCTTTTCAAGATGAGGTTTTAGAAGGAAAGGGATTTGTCAAGTATCCTTACTTTGAAAATAAATCACTTCTGGAGACACCAACTCACAATGAATGGCCCCAAAGCTGACAAGGAGCCGGGCTGGTGGAGAAGGTAATTCCACTCCTACACGTGGCCCTCAGCTCATGACAGAGCCTGGTCCTGAGGCTCTTGGGCCCTTGATTTCAGGGAAGGGGAGGAGGGAGCTTGTTTCTGATCAGGTCTCCTTGCTACCTGATTTAAGTGGTGAAGATACAAGGAATATCAACTTGAAGCTCACAAACTTTCACAATAAAACAAGATCTATTTTGATTCTCATACAAAATTCGGGTTAGCTTTGTATGACTATTACTATTTAGAGCAGAGGTTTATAGTTCTATGATTATTTAGAAATTAATGATTTGAATTTGTTAGAGATAAAAAAAAAATTTGCTAGAGATGACAGTGGTTTTTGGTTCTGTCTCTTAAAGCCTGAGTGACCATATATATCTATTTTTTATCTCTGGAAAAACCACATGGGTGGCTCTGTAAATGTGCATGGGAACAGTATTCTCAGATAAGCCTCGTCTGACCCTCAGCCCTTGCCTCCCTCCCAAGGTCAGAGGGAATTCCAGGGCACAGCATGGAGGTGTACCAAGTCTCATTAGTAGTAATAACAATTAACAGTTATATTAGCACTTGTAGTGGAACTGCTCAAGACCTGGTTTTATTAAGTTTGTTACAAAGTAAAAAAGAAAGGTGTCAATGTATTTAGCACCTCAGATCTTGTAGGTGCTAGCAGAAGCACCCTGAATTGGTTTTCTTTAAAAAAGCAAGGAGAAATAAAAACAAAAACTGAAATCAACTCAACAGGAAAATAGCAGGACTCAGACCTCTCAAAAAGAACAATGATAATAAAGGCCTCAGGTGTCAAAAGTAACAGTTGTCGGTAACCCAGGAGTCAAACTGGAGCCACCATCATCCTGGGTCATGTCAACAGAGAGAAACGATTTCTTCTCAAATGACTCAAGACCACATCTGAATTCGGCACACAAGGAAATGATGGCTTTTTTTTTTTTGATCTGAAAATTTTATTAAGCCATAGCTGACAACTCTTACAATGTCAAATCATCAAGGGAAAAAAAAACTGAGATTGACCCATCTCGATAATAAAGATAGAAAATAATTTGGACAAACCACATCATTTTGAATGCAAACCACCAATGCCTTCTAGAATACCTCCTCTACAATCAAATACACAGAACACATAAGGAGAGAGGAGACGAGGGTGAGCTCGTCAGAATGAAAATTGGAAACCTCAACAGATCTTGCTTGCAAAGTGAAACAAAGCAGGATGCTGAGTTAAGAAACCAACCAACTAACCAGCCAACCAACAGGTGAGGAATCGGGTGCACCAAGCAGCTCGCCAGTCCCCAGGCAAGGGCGAGAACATGCAGGTGGTCTGGTTTGGTCTGGGGCCTGTGCACCTGCATTGCTCGAGTAACTGTTAGAAGAAAACAACAACAAAAAAGGAAACACCAATAGTAATAAATTCAGAAAGTGTGTCCAAATTTACAGTACTCAAATGATGCATTTAGAAACAAATGCAAAAACAATACTCCTTTGGTAAAATAATACAGTGCCTTCTTCAAATGCAAACTTCTCTACTACACGAAAGAAACGACCTACAGTAAACAAGGTCTTAGAGCCCTCCCCCTCCCCCTTAAAAGAACACAGAACACACAGGTACAAGTTGTAAGAAAATAACACAATGCCAAAGAAATGAAAACCACAACCCTTCAAAGTTTCATCAGCCAGAGATAAGGAGACACACAAATGGTGAAGTTTTTGAGATGTGTGCTGTGACAAAAATCCCAGGAACCCACACTACATCTGGACACATCTTGTCTCAACCAACTTTGTTCACAACCACTGACTTGGCCGAAAGATACACAGCCCACAGGGGACAGAAGGGGTTCCTTCTTGAGAAACCTGCAGACGAAGAGCATGCAACACTGCAGCGCACACTCGGTAACTCAAGCCAGACTAGGCACACACTCCTTCGTCTTTTCCCACCCACTCCTGAGGGCAAACGGTGACCTGTTTCTGGGCCATTCTCAGGGGTGCCCACCAAGCAGGGCACACTCGTGTGTGGCCGTCTGTCTTACCTGGAACCAGTGTGCTTAGTCTCGCTTAGTCATGTGATCCCACGGACTGTGGACCGCCGGGCTCCTCTGTCCACGTGGATTCTCCAGGCAAGACTACTGGAGTGGGTTGCCATGCCCTCCTCCAGAGGATCTTCCCAACCCAGGAGTTAAACCCAGGTCTTCCTGGATTCTTTACCATCTGAGCCACCAGGGAAGCCCATGAATACTGGAGTGGGCAGCCTATCTCTTCTCCTGGGGAACCTTCCCGACCCAGGAATCAAACCAGGGTCTCCTGCATTGCAGGTGGATTCTCTACCAGCTGAGCCACCAGAGAAGCCCGCCTGGAACCGGTGCTTTTGCATACTCTTATGAGAACAAACATGATTCCAAACTCCTCTGCTTTTAGAGGTAAAGCTTCCAAATGTATTATTTTAAATGCACTGGTTTACATTCAGTAGGTGGCTCATGAAAACAGGCAAAAAAAAAAAAAAAATTCTCTACAAAAGGCCATGTTTTGAAACCTACCTTCCAAGTCTGTAAAGTGGAATGAGGAAACGTACATTTCAGGCCTTCATGCCATCAATCTGGACGGCAGGCGTTTAGAAGATTGTTCAGGCTGTCCTTTCATTTTACAGATGGACAAACGGAGGCCCAAGGTCACCCAGCAACTCTGTGGCAGAGCTGGCTCAATCTGGGGGTCGGTCTCCTGGCTTTCATCTATGATCACACGCTCAGGTGTCCTCTTGGGGCACACGATAAGGAAGCAACAGCCAAGGGTGAAAACACTGCAAACCCTTGGATTTCTCCTGCCACAAGAGCTTTGACATTTTCTTGCTTTCTTGGTGTGAGTTCTTCTTAGGATATACATACATTCAATGGGTGTACTATACTCAAAGCTATGCCTTTGGTTTGATGAGGTTAAACCAAGTTTGAAATTGGTTTTCATGTTTGTTAATATACCGCTTCCCTCAAAGAGGTGTGGATCCTGTTATGCAGTTGGCTATTTACTGGGCTAATGTTTTTAACTTTAGAGATTCAATGAGGTATCTTAATATTCATAAATTGCTATTAATAAACACTAAGTATGTAGACTTCCGCTGCTTAAAGTACTGACTTTGGTAGTATTTAATAGAGATTGACCAAATGAAAGCAATTTTCAAAATAAGTGAAATCGTCACCATTAACTGCAAAGACAATGCATTACAACAGCTACAGCCACCTGTTTCCGTCTGACTGACGAGTGACTACCTCCTCCTTCAGGCTGGGGCGGCTGCTGCTCATCAGAGGCGAATTCCTGCCAAACATCCATGGTGGAGGCCTTCATCCCCGTGTAGGAAAAAGGGCTTCTGGATACTGAGCTAAGCATTTATCAAGTTTAGTTCATTATCTGTTACGAATACTCACTTTCTCTTCACACGTATTTGTCATTTTCATTCTAAGGATTTCTCTTCATTTTTCCTCTTATTTTCATTGAAAATAAAGTTTTCAACAGAAAGAGAAATAGTATTTTAGGATCTGTTATCTCGAAGAACTCTCCTTTGTATAAAATTGATAATACAAAATGAAAGAAAAAATTACTTTTAAAGGATGAGTTTTTCCCAATCAGAAAAAGTACAAACTGTCCAGACAAAAAAACACCTTCTACCATATCCTTTTTATTTCTTGCAGCAAAACATACTGCCACCAAATAAGTCATTACAAACATACTATTTTTCTAAATAAATAATAAAATGGCATAACTCACCAGATCATAGTAACAGAATAATTTCTACGAACACTATCAAAGCAAGATAAATAATTAATCTTGGACAATGAAACAAGGGAACTGCCTTTAAATTATTTAGAAATAGGCTCTAACCATTATTGCACAACTGATAGTAAGCACGGAAACATCATATTAAGCTACACAAACTCATACAAAAGAATTCTATAATTCTGAGCACACAGCTAAACTCTTTCTGGAAAAATTTACCCACCAAAGAATCAGGTTCAATATTTTAAAATATGGGAAACTGTGGTAATAACGGGGAGAGGGCCTTCACCATATTTAAAACCTCACCTGTGTTTCTTCGGCGTCTGGAGAAAATGGTAAGGGGATGTTAACTTTCATTGGGCCTGTTTCCTTCCTAATTTTTAAACTAAAACAGAAGATTAAAGACAAAAATTTTTTTAATGCATTTCTGCAGTATCTTCCACTTGTTTCTTTTTAAAACAAAATCTAAATCTAGGACCCTAAGCCAGTAGACAGTTCTTGTGCTCCTGCCCTACTCTCACAGATACAAGTAACCAAAAACGTGAACTGGGTCGTGTTATGAGCAGGACTCGATATGGCCCAACAAGTCCCCTAGGAGAGGGAGATGGGGAAAGATGATCTCTGGATTTTTGTTGGTGCAATTAACAAGTAACAGTCAAGGAACTATAGTAAATTCTGTAACTTTAACCATGTTCTCCCAGTGGTTTATCACCTTAGTAAACAGTCTGTACAGTTAATAAACAACTTTTTTTTTTCTTTCTAGAGAAGTTGGTGGGGCTCTTGTCAAAGAACTGATTATAACTCTATCTTTTCACACCCTGGCAAGTGCCTAACATCTTTTATTTTTTTGTTACATTTCTAATCTGTTGGAAAACATCTCTAGTCAACTGAATTTTAATACAGCCCCAAAGAGGAAAGGAGTGCTTTCAAATCAGTGCTGTCAGCATTTTTAGGAAGAAAAAGTACAGAACAGTTATCTAACGGGATAGATACTGTGTCAGCTGGGGTTCCCAGATCCCACAATGAGAGCGGGAGAGGGACGGAAGCCCTGCTTCTCAGCCTCTAGTGACCCACCCTTGCAGCCCAGAAAACTGCCGCCCCCACCACATGTGGGGAGCTTGCTCCCGAAGTTGATCAGACAGAAGGATTGCTGAGTCGACGGAGTTCTGACACACTGGGAAACTAGTGGAGGCGTCAATGTAAACGCGCTCTGATGAGTGAGCGTAGCCCTTGGACCGCACGCACACCTGCAGGAGTCCCTTCCTCCCGTCATCCTTCCCTGTCAGCTGACGAGCACATTCTTCTATACCTGCTAACAGCACCCCCAGAAAAAAACCCTCCTTTTATTAGTCAAACACAGTGCATCTGCCAAAATACCCTTCATTAATCAAGCACCTCGGGGGGAGGGGAGGGAATAACATAACGTGTGAATTAAACAGTGCCCCACCAAGAGAACCTGTACCTTCAGGATTTTTTGGTTGTGTTTTTCTTTAAACGTTCTTTGTGTGTGTTTTTTTTACACTAGTGGTGATGTTGGAGGAATAATAAAAGCTGGATGTTGTGGAGGAGGAAAACGACACACGCTCCTGGTCTCGGAGAACCAGCCAGGCGGGAAGGCGGTCGACCTTCCTTCTCAAGTGCCCGCCCATCCTGTGGCCGACAGAAGCAAGCCCAGTAGGACATCCATTCCCACAGCAGCCTCGCTTCCCAACCACCACTAGGTGCCTCGCACCCTTCGGTCCCAAATGCCACTCTCCTGTATCTTACTTTTGTTTAAAAAGAAAGAAAGAAAAAAAAGACAATAAAGGATAATAAAAACCCAAACAAATAACGACGAAAGGTCAGTGCCCTCTCCTGGGCCCGAGAGACGTTTCCAGTCCTGCCCGCATCTTCCAGTCCCCGGGGCCCTGGGACTCCTTCAGGTCCACGGTCAGGCCCCTCACTTGAGGCGCTGAGTCACGTTGGCCAGGGCGACCGCAAAGGCCTGCACGGCAGAGAAGGGGTACTGGAAGTCCAGGATGTAGGCGCTGCCATCGATTCTCCCAAACTGCATCACCTGGGGTGGGGAGGGGAGGGGAGGGGAGGGGAGGCGGACACGTTAAAGGAGACCCTCAGAGCCGCTCCCGACAGAGGCCGACAGCACGTCTGTGAGAGTTCTGCGACTCTGATAAGCTCCTCCATCTAACTGTGAGTTAGTGGGAAGCAAAGGCCTGGAGGACCATGTTGAACCGCGCGGTGCGGAGGCCATGAGGAAGGTTCAGAGTGTGGGGAGCTCCGTGAGTCAGAGGAAGGGGCTTCCCCACCAAGGAAACAGAGTGGAGAAGGCAGCAGTGGAGAGAGGAATCTCCAGGCTGAGAGAGGCTGAAGAGAACCACCGCTTGTGACTGTCAGACGTCCCTGCTCAGACAGGGACCAGGAGAGCACGCCTGGGCCTCTCGTGGGCCTCTGCGTTCCGGGCACCCCAGGGCTTACTGGGACCACACTGGTGATGTTGTTACATGATGTGACATTTATTTGCTCATGGTCTCTTTTCCATTTTTGTAAACTCCATGAGGAGAGGGACCTTTCCTCTGCTTTCCTCAGTGCTCTAATTTCAGCACTCAAAACAGAGGTTGGCAAACTCTCTGGGAAGGGCTGAAAATAAACATTTCAGACTCTGCAGGTCACGTGGACTTTGCCACAACTACTGAACTGCTGTTGTAGGGTGAGAGCAGGGTAGACAGTACTGAAGTGGATGGATGTGACTGTGTCTCAATAAACATTATTTGTAACATTATTTATAGAAAGATGCTACAGGCTGGATGGGTCTGTGGGCCATAATTTGCCAACTCCTGGGCCCAGAAGATTGCAAGGCATATAGCTGGTACTCTATAAACATTTGTTGAGCGAATTAACAATGTTGAGATTTAAATGAGCGGTGGAAAGAGTTCCTAGAATAGAGGAGAAGGACAGTCCAGAATGACAGGCATGCAGTGGGACCACAACTCCAGGCTGGAGCAGGAAGAACTGAGAAACTATGAAAAACGCTCAAGTGCACCAAGAGGAGATGCACATTCTGCCAGAGAATCAGGGGAGGACTTAATGACAGAAACACAGAGAGATAAGCAAACAGAAGCTGGGCAATCATTACGTCTAGGGTAATGAACCTACACAATAAAGGAAACATAATGGCTCAGAGATGAGTCAGATTTACTGGCACAATCAGTGGACCCATGACTACTGATTTACCTGGGAAAGGGGGAAGGGAAAGTTCACCTGTGCTGGGGGGAGACTGGGGTGAAGAAAACGAACCCTCAAGTTGCTCAGACAGAAATAAGTACATGATGCTCCAAACTGAAAAATCAAGAGACAGAAGTAGAAACGTGTTCTTTGCCAACGCATCGACAGACACCAGGAAAAGCACACAGAACTGGAAGAGTACGCCTCTGGGAGGGTAGGTTCTGGAAGTGGTCAAGTGCCTACTACTTTCCTCACAGGTCTTGTAGGAACAATCGGACTTTAGAAAATCAGGACACGGGATACTTTGGTGAGAAATAAATAAGACAGCGACAGGGACACTGAAAATGAGAGGCCTGAGTGGCCCCACCCTAAGAGACATCAGCTGTTTCCCACGGTTCCCACTGGCCTTCTGAATGATTCTCGAAGGCCAAAGCCCAGAGATCTGTCGCAACCAGAAGATCGCGTTCTGGCCGCACCCGGGGACACGGCTTCTTACCTGCCGCCCCTCCAGCTCGATCTGGAAGTTCTTTGCCGACTCCTGGGTCACCCGCCCCCCGAAGTCCAGCTGGTACACCTGGGTGGCCTCGTTCCAGAGCGGCTGCTTGTTGGCCATGACGTACACGAAGCCCTGGCTGCCCAGCCGGCCGTCCTCCTTCTCGCTGGCCTTCCTGCACTTGAATTCCTCCAGCTCACTGGCAGCCCGCAGGCTCCTCTTGCTCTTCCAGCCCTTCTTGCTGCCCTGGCTCTGGTTCATCAGCTCATCCCCGCTGATGAACAACTCTGGCTCGCTCTCCGAGCTGTCCTGGAACTCATTCGTCTTATTCAGCTTCTTCGACTTCAGCTGGTCCTTCTGACTCTTCACTTTCTTCTTCTCCCTCCCCAAGCGGGGGCTGGAGATGAGGGAATTAAAGTCGCTCAGCGTCCGAGCCTCCTTCTTCACCTTGCCCTCGGTGATGGCCTGAACACTGCCCTCCTCTGCCCGGCTGTCCAGCCGCTTTCGGTTCTTCTTCCCGAATTTCTCTGTCCGCTGGGGGACCGGGCTCTCCGTCAGGGAGAGAACTTCTTGGAAGTTGTCTGCGGTCTCCACCATCACCTCCGTCCCCAGGTGGCTTTGGAGGTCAGTGGGCGGGGGGGACACCAGAGGCTTCTCCACCACCAAGTGTGTCTTGGGGGGAAGAGTGCCTTGGGGGTTCTGCACAGGTGGGCAGGCGCTGTAGGAGTTCCATGGGTGCAAGGCAATGGGGGGCAGCTGTAAACTGGAGCAGGCGCTGCTTCCCGGGTACATGGGGGGCAGGGTGCAGTAGGCCAGGCTGGGCGGGTAGGCCGGCTGCAGAACCACGGAGGACTCCGGCTGGGCAAACTGCGCTGGGGCCAGGGCATCTTTTGGAGAGCAGGGAGCCTGCACCCCCGGCAGCGGGGAGGTGCTGTAGCCAGCCGGGTAGGGCACCCCCATCCCATAGCCAGGCTGGAAAGTGGCAGTAGGGCTGGCGGGAGCCTTGGGGGAGACGAAGGGCACTCGGGACATGTCCAGGTGCTGGCTCGGACCTACCATCAGAGGGGACAGTTTCAGGGGGTTGGGCACTGCGCTCTGGGCTGTCCTTTCCTGAGGGACCCACACGTCCTCCCCCAGCACGGTGTCCCACTGGTAGGGGGGCGGCCGCTTAACGGCCACGGCTGCCTCGCCCAGGGCCGGGTGCCTTGGTGGCTTGTCGGCTGGACAGTGCTGGGCCAGCGACTCGTCCTCCGTGAAGGCTGAGTTCACGTAGTCGGCGCGCTCGCGGGCACCTTCGACCGCGCCCAAGAGGCTGTAGGACGACTGGGAGGTCAGCGGGGAGGTGCTGGCCGCGTGTGCCAGGCCGGGGCCAGGCTGCGCCCCCGGCTCCGGCCGGCCCGCTGCGCCCCCCGCGCCGCTGCACTGGCTGCAGGTGTAGAGCGCAGGTGGCGGCCGCGCAGGGAAGGGCGCTGCGCCCTTGGGCTTGGGCGGGTGTGGCGGCGGCCGCGGGGGCTCGCCAAGCTGCGCCGCCCTGAGCGCCACCTCGCGGTTGTTCCTGCGCAGCGTGGCGTGGATGAGGCCGCCGTCAGGCCTCTGTCCCGCGCCCCGGCCGGGGACCACCGGGCCTGCGAGGTCGGGGTAGGGCGGTGGGTCCCCTGGGGGGATAGAGTAGCGTGGGACCGTCAGGCGGTTCAGGGTGGCGCTGGTGCAGGGCTGTGGGACCTTCTTCTCGGTGGCCGTGAGCCTCAGCGTGGCCGAGCTGCCTGGGCCGGGCAGCGTGTAGGTGTTCTGCGAGCAGAGCATCCGTGTCCGGGGCCGGCACACCTCCTCCACATTGCCGCTGCTGTCGAAAGTGGTGATCCGCTCGTAGCCCAGGGGAGGCTGGTAGTGCGCCGCTGTGGGGTACGGAGAGAAGTCACCCTTCTTCAGGCACGTGTCCACCGGGGGCTGCGGGGGTGGCAGCGGGGGCGGCGGCGCCGCCGTGGTGGGGGCGGCGGGGATGGTTCCGGGGTAGGGGGGCGGGGGGTTCATCTTGGCCACCTGGACCTCCTGGGGGGCACTGAATACCACCGCGTCCCCCTCAGTGGCCAACTGGGGCACTGGCCGCAGGGCCTTGGTTGGCTTCTGCAGATGCTCGTGGTCTCGGTCGCTGTGGTCCAGTATGGACAGCTGGATGGCCCCCTGGGCCGGCGGCGGCAGGGAGAGCTGAGGCGGGTTGGGGAGGCCACGGCCCATCTCCACGCCTCCGAAGATCACCTGGCCTGGGCTGGAGTAGCGGCTGGACACGGCGTACTGGCTGGACACGGGGTACTGGGCGGCACTATCACTCGCGTGCTCGGCACCGCCCACGGCTGTGGTCTGATTGGTCAGGACATCCAGCTGCACATTCTGGTTGGCCAGCAGGGACTGTACCAGTCCAATGCTCTGCGTGGGGGACATGGCTTGAGCCGAGCTGTGGATGGGGGCGATGGGGATGTTCACGGTACAGGGCGGGTTGTTTTCGGGTACACCAGATGCTCCTGTCACTGGAAGGCAATTAGGGAGATGAGCTGCTTACAAAACAGTGCCATGAAACTGCGTCAGCACAACTCACCCAGTACTCCTGCATACCAAATGGAATGGCTACAGAGGAAGGTGTGTTTGCTTAGGTAAAGCCAGACAGTTAACACAAGTTATGCAGAACTTCTCTAATGTTTCTAGAAGGTCACGCAGGATGACCCTGATGGGTTCTTCATAAGCTTAGGACATTGCCAGAGCTTTTCAATAAATACCATGTACCTGAATGGCACCAGGGCAAATAAAGTATTTAAAGATGCTGATTACTGGTGATCTTGATAAAAGGGCCCACTCTTGTGCAGGAAGCAGGCACTGGTACAGTGTCAAAATCCACTGAAGACTCAATGCCTAGGCTTCGGGGTAGATTTCTCCAGAGTTATGGGCTGGTCAGTGTAGGACATGTCCTGCAGCACATGGTATCTGGTATTTGTATATAAATTAAGTTTCTGTAAATAGAACCATGTGAAATACAGCAGAAAAGACCACTGAAAAGACTCTTCCAGCAAATCTGCATGTGAGGGGAAGGGTCATTTCCTAATTTATCTGCTTTTTAGCATTTCAAATGGTATGTAAGGTGAGCCACACTGAATAAACCCTGTACATGTGTCTTTATTTGTACAGAGCGTGCATCTGCACGATGATCGGCAGAGCACATGTGAGTGCTCAGGGCCACTGTCTGAATGACCCTGTCTAAAGTGCTCACTGAGTGTGCCAAGCTGCCTCCTGCAGGCCTGTGAGTGCTGCTAGTATGTGAGCAGGAAACAGAATTTAAGCAGCTCATCGCAGAGGCTGGCTGACCTTTCACCAGGACTGTAGCATGAAGCCAGCTGGTTCATGAAAAGCCAAGCCTGCCCTCAGCTCCTGTAGCAGACTCTTCCTGCCCCTGGGTGCTCCAGTGAGATGGCACGACCTCCTGGCTGCCCGAACCCGGACCCCATCTCAAAACTACTCTTTCTATTTCGCTTCCTCTTCCAGATGCTCTCCCCTCTGCATGGAACTCTGAGGGCAGGTGTCTTCCCCGCTGAAGAAGGGTCTCTGTCACGTCCTGAGCACTGAATGTAAGCCCTTCATCCACAGGAAACCGCAGACAATTATGACCACAGCTGAGCGTCAGACAGAGCTCTATCTGTCACCTTCCAGGAGAATGGAGGCCAACACAGGGAAAGTGTAAAAGACACTCCTATATCTGAGGCTGTAAACAGCAGGACTTGGGCTATATGCTCAATTGTGTGCAGCCTCACCAAACGGCAGGCTCCTGTGGTTGGTTCCAAGACCGTGCCCATCAGGACTGCATGAGTTGATAACATCTCCACCACTCGGAGACAGAAGCCGTCAGAGAACCAGAGGTGGCTACCGTGAGCAAGCACCACTGCTTTAGAGGTAAAAACCTAGGCTGAGAGAAGTCAAGCGAGTCCCCACGTTCAGGGCCTGAGGTGGGATCAGAGCCCCCCGCCCTGCACCCCGTGGGGAGGAGCAGAACCCCTCTGTTCGAGAATGACCAGGGGCAGAAGTCTGTGAACCATGCAGGGTTCCTCTGGCTCAGAAACCAGATATTTTTCAGAGCCTGTATTTACATAATTGCAGGCATGCTTTTTTGAGAACAGTCACAGACGAGTAACTGGCAGACTAATTATAAATCATTCTAATCTATTAATAATCAAAATAGGGTCCCTTGACCAGAAAGCACTTAAATTAATTTGAGATGCTATAAATATTTCAAGTTTGTAAACTAGAATTTTAAAACCTTGTACCAGATTTCAACTCAGACCAGGCTTCCAGGCACAGAGCTCTGTACAGCACTTACGAGAGAGGAAAGCTGAAATGCACAGGTTTTCCACCCTGGGGTGGGGCAGGTTTGAGAAACCAGGCTTTGCGGGCACAGGGTCATGTCAGTGACATCATTCTTTAAGCAGGGGCTGACAGGATGAGAGCTGGCCTAGGGCCGGTGAGACTGGGCTTCAGTTCTGATTTCTGAGTCCTGATTGGTCCTGTTAATAATGTCTCTTTATCAGGGCATGGGACCAAGAGGAAAACCATGAGGATAACGAGATGGTGGACGTGCTCTGTGAACACGAGGCATCACGGCCCTGCAATCATCCTTGCTCTGTTGGCTTCTTTCCTCCCCACACCAGCGACTGCTGGAATCCTCAACTACTTACCATTCTGTCCTCCCACCGTTAACAGAGGGTGTGGGCTCATGACAAACCAGTTTACATGCGTGAACACACCTGGCAAGTCATCTTCATCTTCACTGAAAACATTCGGGTTGAAGACGGGTAAATTAACGTAGTCCATGGAAATCTTCCGAACCTCCGGGAGATAGATGGTCATCTGCCGCGGCTGGAGATGCAGGAGGCTGGTTTTGTAGATTACTGGTGGGGGGTGGGGGGGGACGCACAGTCAACAGAGATGCGGCAGAAGACAGCCAAGGTGCCAGCAGGGCCCCTCGCAGGAAGGGAGATAGGGCCACAGCAGCTCTGCCATCACAAAACAGATCTCATGCAGGCAGAGCCCAGGGCCCGAGGGCAGCCCTTCCAGGCACAAGACCACCAACCCCTAACCTGGGCACAGCGTGGACGCAGGCATGACAAACAGCCAGACACAAAAAATTCTTGGTCTACACAACAGATTGCCCAGTCACTCTGCCAGTGGTTTGTCTATAGAACCACACACATTTCACATGTTAAAGACAAATTCTGTTTTGGAATGAGCTGGGTATGATAAATTTATTTTTAAAAAACCGTATTTGTAATCAGAAGGATAATTTAGTGAAAATAGTTATGATAACTACAATGCTAATCTCGGGGAATCAAATTCTGCTTTTATTCAGGACTGAATTCTTGTCTGACTTACTTTAAACAGCAGGATAGAGACTTACAGGGAACTGCCACATGCTTTCTATAAAAGGGCCGAGTAAACGTGAGCAGGCAGAGCTACTCACTTGAGTTGGGTACAGAGAGAGCCAGAAGCTCTGGGTTCCTGCCCGGCTCTGTCCTCCCCTGGTTCCATTTTCTCCAATGTCTCAATCTTCTAACAGACATGACATTTAACTGGTTCTCGAAAAAGTCTATAAAGATTTACCACTAAGAACTGCACTAACAGTCAGCCAACTTGTTCTTATAGCCTCTAATGCTCTCTTCTTGACTTTCCTCAGAAATATGTTTTGCCTCAAGAACCTAAAGACACTGGTACCAAAATCTGCCCACAGTAAAGGCCAGAAATCAAAATGACCAGAAAACCTATCAGAGCTTTTGGCTATTTTTTGTCATTTTCACCACCTAGGGTTTATATTAAAAAAAAAATGAAAGTACCACTGGTAAAAAAAAACTAACAAACCAATTTGAACAATAATTTTATTCTTCACTAAATCATGGTGGCTAGAGTCAAACTTTGGAGGAAAATACATGCTAATCTTTCGGTGTTGTGAGAGCTCACTGTTAGTTTAGGCCACTGGAGGTTGAAATTGATTCCTGAGTCTGAGTTCCGATGGGGGTGCAGTGCTTACCTGCACCGAGGTTGGTTGGCAGGAAAGCAGCCAAGCCCACGATCTTAAATTTGGTTCCCCAGATATTAGACGTGACCTGAGCGAGATAGTTGTGCTGTGGGAAAAAGGAAGAAGAATCACAATCTGTTTGCATATTTTCTATCAACCACTTAAGAAGTAAGAATGCGAACTCTTTTTACTTAAAAAGCCGCTGGTGGCCACTGATGGAAACGCTCGCTCTCTGGGTGAGTCCACCGTGTCAGACCAGATGCTGAAGAGAGCACACCGCCCTGTTTTCAGACGCTGGCTCTCGGGCTGTGGTTCTTGGGTCAGGAGCAAGGGGTGGATGGATCCCAGCGTGTCCATGTGTGGGGAGGTTAAAAGGTCACAAGAGTGACTTGGGCACACTTTGTTTCACTTCTCCTTTTGCCCAGTCACTTGAACCACAAGGGTACCAAGCTTTGACTCTGTTGTTAGCCTTGATATTTCTCCTGGAAACATCAGTTGCACTGATACCCGTGTGTCCTGAGACCACCCGATCATCTGTTTCTCCATTTGATTAAATTTCAAAATATTTTAAAAGTTATCACTGTGCCCCAAACCACACATATACATAGGCTCTGTGTGTGTGTGTGTGTGTGTGTGTGTGCACGCGCACACACAGGTACAAAGGCAATAATAAAGATGAATAAAATCCAGCTCCTCAAGAAAAGGGAACCCTCCAGCACTGCTGGTAGAAATGTAACCTGGCACAGCCACTGTGAGAAACAGTATGGAGGTTCCTCAAAAACTAAAAATTGAAATACCATATGATTCAGCAATTCCATTTGTGGGTACTATATGAAAAGAAAACCCTCAAAACACTAATTTGAAAAGGTATGTGCACTTCTAATGTTCACAGCAGTATTATTTAAAAAATCCAAGACATGAAGGCAACCTAACTACCCAACAATAGAAAATGGATAAAGAAGCTGTGGTAAAATGTTACACACACACTAAAATATTACTCAGCCATAAAAATAATGAAATATTAGCCATTTGCTATAACATGAATAGACCTGGAGGGTATATGCTAAGTGAAATATGTCAGACAAATACTGCATGATTTCACTTATACATGGACTGCAAAAAAACAAAACAAATGAACAAACATAACAAAACAGAAACAGATTCATGGGAAACAAACAGGTGGTTGTGGGGGGTGGCAGTGGGCGGCTGGAGGGAGATGAGTGAAGCCGGTGAGGGAGACTGAGAGCTACAACTCCAGTTACAAAATAAATACTTTCAGGGATGAAATGTACAGCATGGAGAACATAGTCAATAATATGGGAATAACTTTGTATAGTGACAGCCAGTAAGCAGACTTATCATAGTGACCGTTTAAAAATGTATAAAAATACCAAATCACTATGCTGTATACCAGGAACTAACAACAGAATTGTAGGTCAATTATAGTTAAAAACAAGAACCTACATACACACATGTGTATACACACACACACTCAGCTTATAGCCCAAGGGAGGAGATAAGGCTTGCAGTCACTCACACACAAGGGAGCCACCAAGCAGGGGTAAGGGGCATCAGTAGGATGCACTGGGCTCACTGTGGCTAAGCCAGGGAAGGTAGGCTTTGGACAGAGGTGGCTATACCTGGGAACCTGAAGACGGAAACCACGGCGAGGAGACAAGAAGGTAGGCCCCCTGACCGGGAGATGCAGGCAGGGAGTGGGAGGAGGGCAGTCAACCGTGAGGCAGTGGCCCCGGGGTGAAGGGGGCCAGGCCGGCCAGACTGTGGGGCTGCGGCCGGGGCTGGGGCCCTGGGTCACCGGGAGTCACTGAGGGCCAGGAGCGGCTAGGGGGCCCTGCGGGGGATGTGAGGAGATGTCTCGCGCAGAGCTGCCTCGGAGAAGGCTCTCGTGGCAGCTGCGGGGATCCCCGCGGTGGGAGGAAGGCCACGCGGGACAAGGAGGCAGCAAGGGCCCTGAGGGGCTGCCATCCCAGGCACGGAGATGGTCCCCAGGGCTCAGCCGCCCTCACGCACGTGCAAGGAGGGCGGGCAGCGGGGCTCCCATACCTGAGTGATGTCTTCAAAGGGGAACTCCCTCCGCGCCAGGCTGGGTGAGCCGATGGACGGCTTGCGCATAGGCAAGCGAGGAGAGCGGGAGAGCTCCTGAGCAGCGCGTGACAGCTTGGGGGACTTCCGCGCCTCAATGTTGATCCTGCAGAGACCAGGCTGGGGTCAGGCACCCACCAGTGGGGCCCCCGGCCCTCCTCACCCTCGGGCAGCCCCCGTGGATGCCACACTCTCAGGGGCGGGGCCCTTAATTTAATCAAGCCCATTCCACCTGCTTTTTTGCCTTATGAACATGAGGAAAGGACAAAATTCTATGTGGAATAGTATATATTTAAAAATAAACGCAGTTAGATGAAGTGATTCATCTGTAAGGAACTTTTACTTGAGGCTTCTCTGGTGGCTCAGCTGGTAAAGAATCTGCCTGCATTGCAGGAAACCTGGGTTTGACCCCTGGGTCAGGAAGATCCCCTGGAGAAGGGAATGGCTGCCCCACTCCAGTATTCTTGCCTAGAGAATTCCAGGGACAGAGAAGCCTGGCAGGCCCCAGTCCATGAGGTCACCAAGAGTTGGACACAACTGAGCAATTAACACTTTCACTTGAGAATTAACTTTCACTTTCTACTAATAGTGGGCTTCCCGGGTGGCTCAGTGGTAAAGAATCCACCTGCAGTGCAGGAGACATGGGTTCAATTCATGAGTCAGGAAGATCCCCTGCAGAAGGAAATGGCAACCCACTCTAGTATTCTTGCCTGGGAAATCCCATGGATGGAGCAGCCTGGTGGGTTGCAGTCCAAGGGGTTGCGAAAGTGTTGGACGCTACTTAGAGACTAACCAACTACAACAAATAGTGTGTTTAGAAATGTTCTTGCCAGGGGTTTACAAAATTAATCCTGAGGAAAATGGCGGGTGGGAAGAGTTATTTCTCACCTGAAGGCCATAACAACTTCACAGGTCCTAACACACGTGATCTTTGGATTTCAACAGACTGACTTAGCATTTCGCCACTATATTTAACTAAACTAGCAGATCTAAAGTTTTCCTTTGGTTTCCGTGGTTATGACATGGGGGACATGTGTTTAATGCCAATCTGCCCCAGAGAGTACAGTATTATAAAGATGAATATGGTAAGGCTGATGGCATTCTATGAAGGAAAAGCACTGAGCCTCACATATATGGGCTTGAGGACTTGATAAGACATCTAGGGCTGAGGAGGATGGAGCTGGTTAAAGCTCGGTGTTGAGGACAACCAGCCTGACTGCCGGGTGGGGGGATTCACTGGGAGATGGCAGGAAGGAGGGCCACAACACCCAGGAATGTTAGAGGATAGTTAGAGGTGAGAGTCTTAGTGATGATCAACACACCCTTTAAGGAAATCAGTGTCCAGGTCAGGGAGCTGGGACGGGGAGTGCCGGTTTCTTATCTATAACAACATAGGCCCTTCCATATACTCTCAGTGTTTTGCCATTCCTTAGGACAAACTTGAGGATTATTATTTTTTAGCTCACTACTTTCCCCCCATTACAGAATTATAGGCATGTAATTTGACATTTTCTTTAACACATTATATACACTGTAAACCTCTTCCTTACTCTTCTCAAAGTAAAACATAAACCAAGACTGAGAAAGGAGTAAGGCAGGGCTGTCTGCTGTCACCCTGTTTGTTTAATCCACACACTGAGAGCATCATGAAAAATGCCATGCTGGATAAGTTATAGGCTAGACTCAAGATAGGTGGGAGAAACATCAAAAACCTCAGATATGCGTATGATACCACTCTGATGGCAGAAAGCAAAGAGGAACTAAAGAGCCTCCTGATGAGGGTGAAGGAGGAGAGTGAAAGAGCCGGCTTAAAACTAAATATTAAAAAAACTAAGATGATGGCATCTGGCCCCATCACTTTATGGCAAATAGAAGGGGAAGGTGGAAGTGGTGACCGATTTCCTTCTTGTGGGCTCTGAAATCACTGCGGATGGTGACTGCAGCCATGAAATCAGAAGACATTTGCCTCTTGGCAGGAGAGCTATGACAAACTTAGACAGTGTGTTGAAAAGCTGAGACACTGCTCTGCTGACAGAGGTCCATAGTTGAGGCTATGGTCTTCCCAGCGGTCACATACAGTTGTGAGAGCTGGACCGCCAAAGAATTGATGCCTTCAAACTGTGGTGTCGGAGAAGACTTCTGAGAGTCCCTTGGACTGCAAGGAGATCAAATCAGCCAATCTTAAGGGAAATCAACCCTGAATACTCATTGGAAGGACCGATGCTGAAGCTGAAACTCCTGTATTTTGGTCATCTGATGCAAACAGCTGACTCAGTGGAAAGTCCCTGATGCTGGGAAAGATTGAGGGCATAAGAATAAGAAGACATTAGAGGATGAGACAGCTGGATGGTATCACCAATGCAATGGATGTGAACTGGGGCAAACTCTGGGAGACGGTGAGGGACAGGGACGCCTGGTGTGCTGCAGTCTGTGGGGTTGCAGAGTCAGACACGACTGGGCAACTGAACAGCAACAACAATTTTACATTCTCTTTAACACGTTACATACCCTGCAAACCCTCTTCCTTGCTCTTCTCAAAGTGGAAGATAAAACAAGCTCCCTGGCTGTGCCCCCACGGCACCCACCACTGGTGCTGGCCCCTGGAAGCTCTGCGTGCTTTGCAGACCTCCTCCTGGGCTCCTTTTCTGTCGCAAAGGAGAGGGTGAGGGGAGCTGGGACAGCTGCAGGCAGGCCTTCTGGATGAAAGGTGGGCTCGCCCGCTGCCTCTGCCCCTCAGCTGTAGGTTTCAGCAGGACTGGCACGGACACACACCCCTGACACACTTCCAGAGATGCGCAGCAGGAGCACGCTCCTACGCGTCCCGGTTACCTTGGGAGTTTGGGGGACTTGCTTGCTCGGGAGACTTTGGGGGACTTCTTGGCAGCCCAGTCGTCGCTCAGTTCAATGTCGCTGGAGTCGGAGCAGTTGCAGCTGTCGATCATGGTGGAAATCAAACTGTTTCCATAGATTTCATCTGGTGAGACACCGAGCAACAACATTTAGGGGAGTGATGCCGATTAGCCCCCAGCAGTGGTTGTTACTGGAAACCAGATGACAGACTGACTCCACAGGCCATCATTTTCAGTCTAGAGGTTGAAATAGGAAGGAGCAGGACAGTTTTCCTTCTACGTTTTCATTCTATTCCAGTTTCTAAGCAAAAGTGAGTAATTACTTCTACTCCTATCAACATGGGTATGAACTAAAATGCCTCTGGAACGTACAAAACAGCCTGGCCCCATTTACTGTGTGGAAAGCTGGAGCCAAAACGGCTGTGCAAGTCGTGCGCCACAGGATACTCCCAGCATAGGTCTAGGTCCATGCAGGCTCTCAGCAGCCCTGGAACCCAGGCCATGCAAGGGGCTTGCTGACTCAGGGCCCCCCACCCCCGTCAGTGTCCTCTGTGGGCCTGCTGCTGACCCAGGACCTAGGAAGACTCCCCCCACCGCCCGTGGGTTCCAGGCCTGCTTTCATTAATGGTTGGAAGAGGACTCCAGCAGCAGGACACTGAGCGGCAGCTGTGGACTCCACGGAGGGGCCCGTTTGGGAGCCAGTCGGCCACTAGGCAAGAGATGTGGGGCCCCAGGCCGAAGGTGACGTGCAGGGAGTGGGCTGTCATAAAGCCACAGAGCAGATGGAGTTCATGTTAGACTTTTCCCCCAAAATACCCTTTTCCTTTGCTGACCTCCTCATCCCTTGGATTCCAAGAGCATTACCTGGCAAAGTAATAAAAAGGCCAAATGAAATTATTTCTAGAATATGAGAGATCTGATTGTTCAAAAGGGCTACTTACATCTACAAGGATGAGTCTGTTCATTCAAACCAGTCTCTAGGTTTCTGAGCACATGGAGGTGACATCTGCAGACAGGGGCCTATCAGAGGCCATGGGAGGCAGAGCAGAACAGCCGGGCAGGGAGGCCACTGATGCCCCATCTGTGTCACCACCGCAGCCCTAAACTGCTGTCCAGACCGGGAAACACAACTCCTGCACCCAGCAAGCCCCAGTGCTGAGCATTCGAGCCCCATCACCTGCCCTGAGTAGTGCTTTATCTATAATTAGATGATTATAAACTATTCCTGGATCAAAGGAAGCTTGGCCATGATTCAGAAACCCTTGTGAGTCCACAGGACGCTTCCACATGTTCCTAAGCACAGAGTCAGTCCACTGACCTGAGCAAGTTCTGCAACACACCATCCACTCAACGCTGACCTACTTGTGCAGGCCAGGATTTCACTGTTGCTATGGGATTCACTACTTGCTCTTTTTCTCACTACTGTCTTAGTTTGTTCGGGCTGCTATAACAATATACCACATACTGGGTGGCTTATAAACAACAGAAATTATCAAGTCTTGCAGTTTTAGAGGCTGGAAGTCCAAGGTCAGGGGGCCAGCATGGCTGGGTTCCAGTCCTGCCCTCTTCGGGGTTGTGGACTGTGGGCTTCTCACTGTGCGCTCATGTGGCAGGAGGGGCTGGTGATCTTACTGCAGCCCTTTTTATAAGGCACTGAGCTCATGATATAAAGGCCCTGCCCTCTTGAACTAAGCACCTCCTCAAGGGTCCATCTCCTAATACTACTGCCATTTCAACCAGCTGAAACCAAACTGTCAAACCAAAGTGTCAGTGAGTTATTTTTTCATAGCGAAAATGCTCAGAGCAAAGGTGTCTATGGAGTGAAGCTTATGGCAAAAATACCTCACATGGGCTTAGACCACAGAAATTTACTTTCTCAGTCTGGAGGCCAGAAGTCTGGCATCAGCGTGCCAGCAGGATCAGGTTCTGGTGAGGGCGCTCTTCCTTCCTGCTGATGGTCCCTCCTCACTGTGTCCTGACAGGGCGTGTGGAGAGACCAGAGACCTCGCTCCTCCTTCCAAGGCCATGGTCCTACTGGATTAGGACCCCACCCTTACAGCCTCCTTCAATCATGATTGCCCCTAAAAGCCCTATCTCCAAACATGGTCTGCAGCACCCCAGCCTGCTGCCCTGCTCAAATTCTTGTCACTCTCCTGTGCAAGATACACTCGCCCCGTCCCGACAGCCCCCAAATCTTCGGCCTCATTCCAGCATCAACACTCTCGTCTAAAGCCCAAGGTCCTGTGTAAACGTCATCTAAGTCAGATGTGGAGGAAAGGCAATGTAAAATTCACACTGAGGCAAAATTCCTTTCCAGCTGTGGAGCTGTGGAAGCAGACAAACTATGTGTGTCCAAAATAGAGCTGTGAGGATAGGCGCAGGGGAGAGTCCATCCAAAGGGAGAAGAGAGAGGGAGGAGGGAAAGGGATGCTCCAGGGAGGACTGTGGCAGGGAGCACCACGGAGACCAGTCTGGGGGAGCTCCTGGAAGGAGGGGCTGGCCCATCATGCTAGATCTCCATGGATGAGTGGGACATTCCTCTCGGCAGTCAGCTAGAGCAGCTAATGGTGGATGAGTGAGGGGCAGAAGTAAGATTCTAGAGGGAAGCTGAACAGGCTGAAGGTTCAGAAGCTTTAATTCTCTTGTTCCCTCTGAGAGGGGCAGAGACAGCATTCCACTACCACCTTCCGACTGTCTCCACAGCACATAGGTCCTCAGTGAACATCTGGTAAGTAACCCGCAGGGGCAGCTGCTGGCTGCCTCTCATCACAGCCCTGACCCCACGGAGCCCTGCAGAATGCTGTCACAACCCCGGCAGAAGGAGCATTTAGAGAAGCCGTAACTTTTAATAGAGAAATGGAGCGGCTTCAGGGATGCTCCTCGCCAGCCGAGGCCAGCTCACGTTTCATCCACAGGCCCCACCTCTGCACGGGGCGCCGCGCCCCGGGAGAGGGCCCCACCTGATCGGCCGTCTGTCCGCGGGTCCATGATGACGAACTCGGGCCGCAGCTTGCTGACGCGCCGGCCCTTGAGGATGGGCACCAGCCCGCCCAGGTGCTCCAGGTAGAGCGTGTAGCATGGGCCGCCCACCTCCGGGTCGTCCTCCGTGCGCTTCATGGTGCAGTGCAGCCGCTCGCTGCCGGCTGACGGGTAGCTGACGAAGTCCCGCATGTTGTTGGGGTCTGGAATTGGGGGCTGGAGGCAGGACACGGAAAAGAGCGTGTGGGCATCACCAGTGACTCTGCACTGGCTGCAGCTCAGGGACTCATGGCTCTGGGGACACATGGGACTCTCCCAGGAGCTTTCAGAGAGACCTCAGCCAGGACCCCACCTCAGACACTGGAACTGGAACCTGTGGGTAGGCCTGGGCACAGGCATGTTCTCAAAACTCCCCTGGCGACTTGAATGTGCAGCCAGGGTTGAGAATCACTACTGCAGAACGGAGACTGTAAACCAACTCCGGGCGGGGGGGAATCAAAACAGGTTCTAAAACTCTGATGTTTTAGAGAAAAAGTAACCAACAAGCCAATGTGATACTTAGAAGCAAAGACAGAAAACAAAAAAAAGAGAATATTGTACAGAAAAGAACCTAAGGAGCAGAGGCAGGCCCAGAGAGTAGGAGGGAAAGCTGCCTTTAAACAGTGACTGGCAGCACTGTCCACCCACTCCAAGAACAGACTAGCTCCCAGGTAACAGCCAGGTTACAGCTGGCAGCCAGTGCTACGTGGGGTCAGCCTCCTGAGCACAGGGGTGAGGAGAGCAGACCCTAGGATTGAACGGGGCTCGATCCTGACCACTCCCGTAACCGTGGATGAAGAGCTACCTGACTTTCAGGGACACGTGCCCTGCTCTCACACATGGGATCACAGCAGCGGCTGCCAGTGAGTCAGGACTGAACGGACAGACTGGTTATTGGGAGGGCCACGGCAGTCAGGCTCGGGATGCTACCATTGACACAAGAGGCTCACGTCCATCACCCAGGACCAATCCCCCTTGGACACGGACGCAAGGGGTGGACCGCATGAGGGAGGACCATGGCGCACTCTGGTGCTCTGCTTGCAGACTCTCGCCCATCTCCCTGGCCCCACCCCTCCTCCCCGCAGTCCTTCGGGAGCGGGCGGGCAGGGTGAGGGGAGGAGGAGGAGGCGGCGGGGTGGGGGGGCTTCACCTTGATGGTGGGGATGAAGGCAGTGGAGAGGTAGGAGCAAAGGCGGGGGGGTAGGGTCAGCTTGCTGACATCCTTGTCCTCGCGCAGGGCGCTGGCGATGGCCTGCTGGCACAGCAGCTGCAGGCTGGACACCCGGTGTTCCACACGCACCACGTACAGGGCCGGTCCCGATGCCATCAGCAGCCGCGAGTCCCGGTGTCCCCAGCAGATGGAGACGATGGGGCGCTGCCGGGGGGGGGGGGGGGGGGTGGGGAAGGGAGGGCGAGCGTCAGCCTGGGCTCTTGGGAAAGCAAACCGAGGTTACGCACCCCGTGTCAAGCAAAACAAAGTCATCTCACAGATTTGTAGCATGTTGGTTTTAAAAAGCACAATACAGAACATTAAATCCATATGATAAGAGTCAGTACTGTCGATGAATACCAGTTAGGTCTCCAGGCCAGAGCCCAAAGCACCAGAACAGTGTTACAAAATTCTTTCACATGGATTATCTCATTAAATTTGGTGACAAAAAACCTACCTGAGCTTCATATAATGACATTTCTGCCAAGGGATGCACTTAGCCTGGGGTACAGTAATCCCTTTTCCTTACTGAGGCCCTGACTACTTGGATCGTTAAGTAACCAGTAGCAGTCCAAGGCTTGGAGTAGTGAAGAAGTAGACCAGATGGTTCATCACTTTGGTCCTGACAAGGAGCATTTCAGAGTCAGGTCAACACTGAATTCAAGTCACAAGCTTGTGACCCAGGGAATATTATATAACCGTGGAAGTCTCGTACTTTTTCATGAGTAAAATAGGGGTTGTGAGGATTAAAGGAGACAAAAGATAACAGTGCTTCTGGGACCCATCACAGGTGACAACGCACAGATTCTCAGCTATCCTTGAGCTGACGGGGCAGGAAAGGGCAGAGAGAGGAACATGGTTTATGTGGCAGCTGCTCTAGGGGTCTGTGGACGTGACTTGCTTTGAAAAGAGAGGATGATAGCTAAACATGGGAGTCAGAAACTGACTGTGTTGGGGAAAAGAAATCCAAAGCTCAGGGGTCCTATCAGCCGAGGAAGAAAGAAAGAGGTGGAGAGCTGTGATGGAGAAGCAGCGAGAGAATCTGCTCCTTCCGATCCAGGCAGATGGGAGTTCTAAATTAATGGAGTCCTGAGGGGCTGCCAGGATCAGAAGCGGGGACACCAGATCTTGCATATCAAACAGATAGGAGGAGAACCTTCATGACACTTCAGTGACAATCGTTGAGATAAAAGGAACACATGAAGACACTAGCTTAAAACAGCCTCCAGGGTCAGCTAATTCTGGTTTCAAATTCAAAACAAAATGCAAGGCTGAAGATAATTCATCTTTCACTGCCATCACAGCAAGGCCGGGCAGCCACAGCGTGGGACCACAGCCGTGGTCCCCTGGAGGAGGTCCATGGGGCCTGGCCCTCAGTCTGGGGGCTTCAGACTACTTCCAAGATGGGCCTCCTTCCTTATAAGAGGATCCCTCACAGAGGGCAGACCCAACAGAGGACACGGTTAACTAACAGCAAGACATGATCACTGCCGAAGACAAAGCAGACAACACACACAAAAACATCCCTTCTAAACTTCTTGGCATCAGCAACTACCTCCCCATTAGTGCAGTTTAGGACAAAAGTTCTTTTAGTAGCATAACCATGCTTAGTCACACCATAATATATTAAATCTATCAAATCCACACCCTGTACACCTTAAACTCACAAAGTGTTGGTATCAAATGAATTGTAATAAAGCTGGAAATAAATAAGAAAATTAACACACACAACAAAACCCTTTTACACCTTGTGTATACTTGCACAGGTCTCACATGTCACCCTCCTCTTTACAAGGCTCATTTCCCGCTGGTGCTCACCCTCGTGTGCTGTTCACTGTGTCCCAGCCTACAGAGTCCTCACTACAAGTGCTGTGCTGTCTCAGAAAGCACGGGAGTCAAGGTGGCGGCAGAGACACAGACAGGGTGGTCATGCCCACAGACAGCGTGGGGGCGCCTCGATTCAGCGGCCTCACCCTCAGCGATTTCTGGGGCCCCGTCTGTAGGTAGAACAGGCATTCCCTGGTCTCCCCCAACCCAGCCTCATGCACGGGGCATGTCTTCTCCAGGCACGCCCCCCCCTCCCAGGATCAGCTGCAGCTGAAGAGGACTGTGTCTGCCCAATATTCTCTTCCAGCAAACCTGGATATACACACCTCCCACAGATGATGTTTTTGTTTGAACAGCTGTCGTCTGCTAGGGAAAAACTCAGATGCAAATCTGTAGGCTTCATCGCTTTCTCAAATTGCACAAAATGACTATTTTTAGAACCAAAGCTAGAGGTGTGGAGTTGATAATATTCAGATCTTAATCTGTGTAGGTATTTTGCACATAAATCTGAGGCACAAGACGAGACACTGAGCTGCGTTTCGGGAGCATCAGTGTGGCGGGAACCTGGTGCCGTGGTGAGCAGGCTGGACAGACACAGGTGTCCCCAGGCTGGAGACGTGTGACGTCCACAGGGAGCTCGGGGAGCAGCTGTGGATGGTTAGCCTGCCCTCTCTCTGTGGCACACACCAGCCCCTTACGAGGAGGGGGTGGAGTCTGCTCCCTCAGCCTCCCTGGCCATGGCATCATGGATGATCAACGGCCAGGTTCAACCCCTTACAGCACATGAAGAGACACCAAGGAGCTCCTGACCTCACCTCCTGCTGCCACATGATACACGCCATGCATCTACCAATCATACTCGCCTATGAGCTGTCATCAGTCAGTCAGTGAGTCCCTGTAAAGTGTATGTAGTGGGTTGGACACCTGCTGGGCATCCCTGCTTCATGGGGCTGAGGCTCTGAGGAAGGAGGGGAGACAGGAGGGTCTTGGGATCTGTGACAGGGACGGACGGTCTGACGGTGTCAGATGGTGACAGTACTGCAAGGTAACAGCAGTACGATAAGGGGCCAGAGGAAGAGCAGGGGTCATTTCAGGCAGGGGGCAGAGAAGGCGTCCCTGGAGGAAGTCTCAGCAGAGGCCTGACACGAGGGAGCCGTGGACGTGGACACAAGGACGATGCCTGTGATTGGAGCCCAAAGCTTCCCACTACTCCACTATCTGTGTGCAGTGCATGAGGTCCTCTAAAAACTCAGTGAAGTGAAAGTCGCTCAGTCGTGTCTGAATCTTTGCGACCCCCATGGACTATATACAGTATATACAGTCCATGGAATTCTCCAGGCCAGAATACTGGAGTGGGTAGCCTTTCCCTTCTCCAGGGGATCTTCCCAACCCAGGGATCGAACCCAGGTCTCCTGCACTGCAGGCAGATTCTTTACCAGCTGAGCCACAAGGGAAGCCCAAGAATACTGGAGTAGGTAGCCTATCCCTTCTCCAGTGGACCTTCCCAACCCAGGAATTGAACCGGGGTCTCCTGCATTGCAGGGGGATTCTTTACCAACTAAGCTATCAGGGAAGCCCCTAAAAACTTAAGGGGAATTAAGAAAAAAAGCAGGATGTCCTTCCCTTGTTAAAGATGAGCTGTTCAAGCGCGATTAGAGTCAACAGAACACAGAAGGGTCAAACCAGCTACACTGGCCTGAGAGAGAGAAGGTGGTCACTTAGTCACGTGAGTTCTGGGTGGTGAGGCCCTGCTGGGGAGTCAGACCCCGGGAATGTCAGAGGGGCCTCCTGTCACCCAATCACTGGCCCTCCGTTCTGTTGTGCTTTAGTCGCTCAGTCGTGTCTGACTCTTTGCAACGCCGTGGACTACAGCCTGCCAGGTTCCTCCATCAGTGAGATTTCTCAGGCAAGAATACTGGAGTAGATTGCCATTTCCTTCTCCAGGGTGTCTTCCCAACTCAGGGATTGAACCCATATCTCCTGCATTGGCAGGCAGACTTTTTTTTCTTTTACCACTGAGCCACCAAGGAAGCCTGAGCTCCCCCTAAGAAGGTATGTATCTTTTTCAGAGAAAATACACTTCAAATGTTTCAGAGCCCCGGAGAGAAGCGGGTATTCAACATTTGTACAGGCGTGTACACAGAAGGAAAGCCTTCAAGAACAGTTCACTTGTAAATAGACCAAGGTGGTGACTAGTCACCATAAAACTGTGTTGGTTGGTGCCATGGACAGTTCTGAATACTGAGTTACAATGATTTGACCAAAAACTAAGCCACAGTAATAAAAGCTGGCTCAGGACTCATTTACCCAAAGCTCCATTTTAAAAGAACATGAACCATTCTTGAATTTTGTAAGCAGACACTCCCAGAAAGAACTTTTTCATCTATTTACAGCAAACAATGGGAAAAGCATACCTAAGACAGCTTTGTGAGAACAGGCAGAGTTAATTCTCAACAAAAGGAGGCAAGTACAGTTTTTTCTAAAGGAGTCTCCTTCAAGAGCACAGAAAGTCAGTGACCATAATCACTCACTTTTCACTCTATTTCACTCACTTCACACTATCTTTCTCCCCTTTTAAGTTTTTACCCAAATATCTTACGTCAATACCTGAACCTTACAGAATGTAAGGCAATTCCACCAATCTGCCTTTAATAGAGAAAAAGTTCATAAAGCTAAAACACACAAATCCCCAAAATCCAACAATCCAACCAAACAAAAACACACTAATCTGAATTACTGAAACCTTTGAACTCCAGTCAGTGATGCTAACACTCAAACTGTGGTCAGATGATCAGATACACAATTACATATGTGCATACTAATCCAGTTCCATCCTGTCTGACTCTTTGCGGCTCAATGGACGGTAGTCCACCAGGCTCCTCTGTCTATGGGATTTCCAAGGCAAGGATGCTGGAGTGCGTTGCCATGCCCTCCTTCAGGGGCTTTTCCTGACCCATGGATCGAACTCTCGTCTGTGGGGTCTCCTGCATTGGCAGGTGGGTTTTTCACCACTAGCGCCACTTGGGAACCCCCAATTACATAAGATGGTCACAGATAGCATCTGGTGAGATGGACTATAGACTTTTAAAGTATGACAGGCAGGAAGGAAAGGAAAATGAATTAGAGTGTATTTCCTTCTAAGAGCATCAGCCTCAGGCTTTGCTGTTGTGAGTAACTCAGGAGAATCGGTTTTAAAGCGAGGCTGCCACCAGTCTGTGACGGGCACTGGCTTTGTGCGCAATAACCTACAATCTCATTAACTTGGAAATAAATTAGCCGATCTAAACTGCATTTCGTTCTTTTTATAAACAGCCCAATAAGCTGCCTAACTTCCTTCCTGCCATAAAAACGTTCCTGCCTTTGGACAACTTGAACAGCACAGTACAGACATGTGATTCTAGAATCATTACAGACGACAGTTAAGCTGCTGCCACACACAATCGATACTGTACTTGGTTTTTAATAGCATCATTATTTAACTGTATATTATTGAGGCAATTTTTCAATGGCTGAAACAGACCCTCAAATGAAAAAAGAGTCAACAATTTATTAAAATGCAGGGACGTTATGTGAATATCTTTCTCCAAAGATAGATAAGATAGCCAGTCTGTCTCTTATCCCTGAGCCTCAAATGGCTTAAACTCAGGATCTATGCTAGTTTCATGTGATAGCTGATGAGCAATCTTGCAAATGGCTAAGGTTGTTGAGCTTCTATTGCATTCTAAGCACAGTGAAGATCAGAAAAATAGAGAAACTGTGGTCTTTGACTTTAAGAAAGTAAAACAAGTAAACAAAAAAGTGTAATATGTGCCAGAGGTATTAAGCACCCTGAAGGTTCACACAGAAGAGGGGCTACAGTCTTTGGGCAGATTTACCAAAGGACGTGACTGTGTTGACAACAGAGAGGATGGATTTCCCCAAGCTGAAATGGCAGTGAAGGACAGTCTCTGTAGGGGGGATGCAATGCCAGTGGGAAAGGTGCCCTGAGTTGCACAGAACCATGGACGATGCCCAGTGCACTTGGAGTGTGTTTCAGCACTTCAATTCACAAACACTCTAATAAACATAAAAGATCTTAAGTCAGAAAGGGCTGAAAGTTCCCAAGCTCTCCTACTTGTCTTTCAGTTAGCCTAGAGACAGAAAGCTAGCATGAGATCTGATTGAGGGCACACAGCCTATTGGTTCAAATATTCAACAGAAAGAACTAAAAAACCATAACTGTCCATCTGTCAATCCACTGAACACGTATTTACTGAGCACCTATACTAAGTTCCAGGAAATAGACTGGCAGTAGGGTCACAGTTACTGTGTAAGCAAGGTAACCTCTTCTTCAATCTCAAACACACAGGGACTCCAATATCTCCATTTACTTTTCCACACACACTGGCCTCCTGCTAATGGCCTCAACTCTGCTCCACTTCGGTGCTTCCTGGGTTTGCCTCACCACTTGGAACCACTTCACTTCTAAAGCAGGAGTTTGAATTTCCTATCCAAGTGCAGCTTCCCACCCTGTGTTTATCACTTCTTCCTGAAAATGCCTGATTATGACTTTTTTCTTGCCACTCTCAGGTCACAGAGCTTCTTCCCACTCCAACTCCGTGGCTGCCCATTTCTATAACCTTCTTCCCAGTTCCCTAAGTTTCTTCGATTCTTCATCTTTCTGCTACATGAATCTCTCCAATTCCTAGTATCAGGCAGCTTGTACCACTTCTGCCTCTAGGGGTTGCAGAGGTAGCCTGGGCAACGTTCAATTTCACTTTAAAACCACGCTGCCCTTCTCTGGCTGGGGCGTGATTCCAGCTCGTTACCTTGACTGGCTCCCGTATCACCTTCTATACCCCAGCTCTCAGAGTTCTGAGCTCAGAGCCCAGTTGCATAGGAGCCCCGCAAAATATGTTTGCTGGATGCTTGAACAGATGAACAAATATGCTTATCTGCTCACAGATGATTTTACACTGTTGAAAGATACATTTAAATCCTGTAACTTTGGACCTTCCCAGCAGTCCAATGGTTAAGAATCTGCACATCCACTGCAAGGGGCTCAGGTCCGATCCCTGGTTGGGGAACTAAGATCCCACATGCCATGCAATGCAGCCTATATAAATAAATAAATAAAATTAATACCAATAAACATCTTTAAAAAAAAATCTTCCAACTCAACAACAAAAAATGAGCAATCTAGTTAGGAAATGGGCAACGGCCTTGAACAGACATTTTTCTAAGGAAGTACATGAAAAGATGCTCAATGTAACTAATCATCGGGGATACACAAATGAAAAGCACAGTGAGATCCACCTCACGACCATCTGGATGGCTACCATCAAAAAGCCAGAAAACAAAAGCTGGTGAGGACGTGGGGGGTCTCTGTGCACTTCTGGTGGGAGTGTAACCTGGAGCACCCACTGTGGAAACAGTATGGAAGCTCCTCAAAAAGTTAGAAACAGAATTACCATATAACCTAGCAATTCGACTTCTGGGCATTTATCCAATAGAACTGAAAGCAGCATCTCAAAGAGATATTTGTATATCCCTGTTCACAGCAGCATTATTCATGATAGCCAAAAGCTGGAAGGAAACCAGACATCCACTGATGGATGAATGGATGAACAAGATGTAGTTGTACACATACAACAGCATATTCTTCAGCCTTAAAAAGGAACAAAATTCTGACACAGGCTACAATGTGGATGAAATAAGCCAGACACAAAAAGACAGACACTGCATGGTTCCACTTACATGAGGTATGTAGAATAGTCAAATTCGTAGGAACAAGAAGGCATAGTTTCAGTTTTACACGATGAAAATGTTCTGGAGATTGGTTACACAGTAATGCAATACACTTAGAAATGGTTGAGACGGTAAATGTGTGTTTTACTACAACTAAAAATATATGTGTTTAGATAACTAGTGCCGGCATCTGGATTCCCAGGTGGCTCAGTGGTAAAGACTTCGCCTGCCAATACAGGAGACACAGGACACACAGGTTTGATCCCTGGGTAGGGAAGAGACCCTCGAAGAGGAAATGACACCCAACCTAGTAATTCTTGCCTGGAGAATCCCATGGACAGAGGAGCCTGGTGGGTTACAGTCCATGGGGTCGCAAAGAGTTGGACATGACTGAGCACACACACAACTACAAATTTCCTGAAATCTGGCACACCTGTCTCTCTGATGAGCTGGGTCAGACTATAATGTAAGTCCCTAGTTTACTATCACCCCCATCAACCGTCAACTCACTCTCAGACCTGTCTCCACTATACCTCCATGAGAGTGGAATTGTGTCTCCACTATAATTGATCCAGACCAGAAATGAGGCAGTCTACAGATTTCTGGGAAATAAGAACAAACAGAAAGGGGTCCACATGTTCTTAAAGACCTTTAAGCTTTTCTACTTATTGTTTAACAATAATTTAAATGTAAAATTTAAATTAATGTAAAAGTACACTACTTAAATGTAAAAGTATACTACTGGCATAACAAACCAAAATCAGAGTAAATAAATGAAGATGCACCATTTACTTCTCTGCAAGTTGCTGATTTTTACCTTGGAATGATGATAAACACTAGCTCACTCTGCTTACTCACTGTCCATGATTCGGGAATGGAAATGGATACATTTTGGTTAAAAGGCAAAAACTTCTTTCTCCCTTACTTCTTCTGGTTTATACCCCATGATTTAATTTAGGTCAACAAAAGATTAAAGTCTGCCAAAGATAATTACAACAAGTAGAAGCAGTTCACGAGTACCTAATGGAAGTTGGGGGCAAATTAACACAATGGTGTCACAGCGTGTGTCCGACACACGTCCTTACTTGCACAAGCGTTTCCAGTGTAAAGATGTGCTCCCCACGAACGTTGTAGAACTTGACCATGGCACTCTTCAGAAAAGGGCCATTGGGGAGGTCACTGAGCTGGCTTGGGCGTTCCATACCAGCAACTGCCAGGAGGTCTCCCTGCGTGCACCACTGGGCCACCACCTCTGAAACGACAAAGAGGGAGACAGTCAACATGAGTTGGCAGGGGGCGGCGGAGGGGGGCGGGGTTGTCTCCGTCCTGAACTCTCATTTAAGTAGTTTCAGAAATGGATCCACTGAGCACATACAACGGCGTCAACGTTTCTCTCATGAAGGCAACAGAGACTCTGAACACAGGTGTTCATTACATGGATGGGGAGTGTTCATACATGGATGGGGACTGCAGTTTCCCCTGAAATGCACCTAAACCAGGAGAAAACGACACATGATACACCTACTGCAGTAGCAGCACTTCCATGATGAGAAGGGCACAACTACGAGAGTGCATGTGAGATCAGAGAACCCACAACTATCCATCCTGAGTGTCCTTCCCTCTGCTGTGACCCCTACTCCCAGAGAGGACTCAGAGAGTTTACAAAAGCTCCAAGTGAAATGCAAATCAAGAGCAAAGCCTAAATTTAATTCATTCGATGTTCTGTGCACTACTAGACAGATGAAGTTCGGATAAAGGACAGGTCTGCATATCAAGGCCTTGAGTTTCACCCAGCATCTGGGTGAGGTGATGTGGGGTCTCAGAAAAGACGACAATCCCTCTGCTGGATGGCAGTGTCGTCAGACAGACTGTCACAGAGATGTGATGCTCACCTACGAGCCATTCAGGACCTAGAAGAAACGGCTGTTAGACGTTGTGTGTGTCTAATTCCAATGTGAGCAATTCACTTATTCTTGCTGGTGAAACAAGCTGCTGGTACAGTAAGATTTATAGCATAGCTTTTCCCCCCTCAAGATACTAAAACTGGATCTGGCTTATCCAGAGATCCCTGAAATCTGGAAGTTCGCGGCTGATTCTGCAGAGAGGTTGGAGTTGAAAGGTGCACCCCCATGACAAGGACTGGTTTCAGATCTGGGTCTAGATTTCGGCAGTTCCTGAGCTCCACCCATGATCATGGCAGTTCTCTCTTATTCACATGCGGCACCGATTCTGACATCAACACCAAGCACATTCTGAGGTCACCAAAGTTCCCCAGTTTCCCTGGAAGACTGAAAAGCAGTCCTGGGAGAAGACAGCTCTCCAGAACCCGGGGACTGAGGGCTTGCTTGTCAAGTCAGCTGCAGACAGAATCTAGAGACAGACCGAGCAGAGGGCTGAGTTATGGACACACACACAACATGGTAAAATCTCTACAACTGGAGACAGTAAAAGCATCAGTAAATAGAGGATTTTCCTTTTTCTTATAGACAGGTATGAATAAGGTTAAGTATTGGGTTAAGTTCGTCTGGGTTATTCCCAATGGGTAAGTGGGTGGCGGCCCCCGCAGGACGGGCCCAGACATACAAGCCATTCAAAGGATGCTCAGCAGCTAACACAGGGAAGCCTGCGGGCTTGAGGCGGTTGTTTGCTAGACGGCGATATCTGAGTAAGGATCTTAGTCCAAACGTTTATGAGCAAATGCGCAGGGATTTCTTTGGTGCAGTTATAACATTACACTGAGACAGCTGCAGTTCTCAAAGGTATGTCATTCTTTTTGAAAAGAATAAGCTTCATAAGAATAATGCCATTTCTTGTTCTGAAGATTATATAACCAGGAACATAAAAGGATGCAGAGACAAGCATGGGCCCCTTGATACTGAGCATAAACCAGGCCTGAGCCACAGGACAGGCATGCAGTTATCAGGGATGCCCAGCCCCGTCCCTTCCTTAGACGGCCACATTAATGACTCATCTATCAGCCATTAGATGTGTGCGCACGCACATGTGCACATGTGTCCAGAGACAGGGAGGGAAAGAGGAAAGGGAAAAGAAAGCGAAGGTTCCGGTCTGCCCCACCTCCATTCAGATCACAGCAGGTCCCTTGAACATGGGGACCAGAGACCACCCTGGAGCTTCTGCACTGCACTGTCCAACGCTGAAGACACAGACCGCTTTTCCAGAGAACTCACCAGACTTCCTGAAATGCACATTTCACAACACTCAGAATGCTGACAGACCCCAATTTCTTCCTGAGACACCACTTCCTACCGCCCTTCAGGAGGCCATCAGCCACTCACCGCTGACCTTCACACAGACACCTCGATTTGACAGGTTTATCACAACCACCAGCTTCTCAAGAACCCTCACAACCCCAGCGGCTCCTGTGTGTTGTCTGCAGGCGAGCGCTCCCCATCCGAGAGGACTGCTCCGCCTAAGAAGGGCAGGTGAGGACGAAGTGACTGTTGGGAGTGCTTCCTCAAGATGAGGCTAGACAGGAATTGACTGGTCGGACAAGCAGAGGAGCGAGAGGAAAGACCTTCACGGACAGACTCCATTAAGCCCGGCAGAGGGGACTGCAGGGGCCGGGGGTCAGCAGGCCTGGGAGGGACGCCCAGCTCACAAGGCGGGCCGCTCCATACCTTTCAGCCCCGACTGGATGATGGTGGGAGACAAGTCGTCGTAGCTGTTCATCAGGCTGATGTCTCCGGAGGTGAAGCTGACGGTGAGCAGGGGCTTGATGTTCTGCACTGGGATGGGGTATGCTGCCGGACCATCTGTGGGAACAGAAGTGCCGGGTGAAAATGAGGCAACGAGCAAGTGACCCAAACCCAGGCCTGCACGTGCAGCCCTGCAGAGGCCTGGAAACTGCTAACAGTGCAGGCCAGACCCTGGGCTGGGGGGTCACCCAGGAAGGCTCTAACCACACGGAGCACGGGGGGGGGCCCGGGACGAGAGGCGGTGGGGACAGCAGCTGTGCGGGCACCGGGCAGGGCTCCCTGGGCTCTGGGTACCCTGCTGAGAGTTTACCAACCTGTGTGTCTCTGGGGATGTGCAAACGTGAATTACTTTAATGTCACGTGCCAGAGGAGGATGGGGGCAAGGATGAAAACATTTTCTTAATCCTGGTCCAATGAAAGCTACCTTTCAACACTGGACACACTTTCACTGAACGTTACAAGCATCGAGCAGCCACTGTGAGCTCTTTGTTTTTACAGGAAGAGACCCCACATCTGCAGGAGGCGCAGGCTGGCTGTGGCTGATGCCCAGTGTGCCTGAGTGTGAGGAGACATGCGTGTGCACGCGCGTGCGTGTTAAGGAGACCTGAGAGGTGCTCCTCTGCGTCCACCCCCTGCAGTGGGTCAGCCTGACACCTGCTCGCTCGCCCTGCTCAGCTCACCTATAGAGGGTCTTGTAATAACTGTCCTCTGCTTTACTTTATGATGCTGCAGGTACTGACCTCTGTGCTCAAATTCCCAAGGTCACCAGGAGCACCCTGCTCTCTCTGAAAGGCAAGCTGCAGTCTCCTTCAAATTGCCCCACTGCTTCTGAGGAGGGGAACCAGTTAGAATGTAGCTGGGAACTAATGCTGCTCTTAGACTTCATCTGGACATGCTCCATCACCTTGGTCTCTGGACCCTATTTCTCCCCTAGTAAGAGGGGAAAAGCAAGTGTGCATTCAACCCAGTAAATTCTGTTTTAAAAGTATGCTGAGCCCAGTGTTGAAAGACACCCAACTTGATCACTGACATCGGCAGTCCTTCCATTCCATTACTCATCACACAGTCTCCTTTAAAAAGAGGGGCTGGAGCAGGGATGGGACCCTGGAAGAGAGTCAGAGCCCTGGGGGGCCACGCTGAGGGCTGACAGTGGGGACAGCCAGGCCAGCACCCACCCCCAAGGCTTCTGCTCTGGGGCCTCAGGCACGCTTAGGGTGGTGGGCAGAGGCAGAACCTGAAATCACCCCCACCAAGGGACTGAAACCATCTATCATGACTGGGCCAAATGTTCACAAACTCAGATGTCATCTACTCTAACATCACTGAGAGGCTTGGAGGCGGGGGGGGGGGGCGGGGGGTGAGGGCAGTGGGTTCTTCTGAACTGAGGGAAGGGAAGGGAAGAGCAAGGGAAGACCTGCCTGAAATAAACAGGCAGGGACATGGCATCCAGCCCACTGTGCTGGCCTTCGTCTCGGGCAGAACTAAGCCTTTCCTCACAGCCAGGGTCCCTGGCTTCAGGGGCGTTATGGATCTGGAACACTACGGGTTAGGGCGCAGGAACCGCACAGTAGTTTTCTCCTGCAGCTCTGTTCTCACTAGGTACCCAGTCCCCACAACACCCCAGGGACACGGAAACGGCCATCAGTCTCGTTCTGCGTCTAGGAAAACCAGTGGAGGGCCAAGCCACCAGACCAGCGATTCTGCGAAAAGGGATGGCAGCGAGGTGATGGTCCATCCAGGTTAGAGACTGGGTCGGCTCTGTCCCGCATTCTGCTGAGAACCCCACCCAGTACGGCCAGGCCGCGCTGTGGCGGGCCGCCCCGTCCCCCCATGTGGAGGCGTCCTTCTCCTTCCTGCCCTCCCCGCGCGGCCACCTTGGGGCGGGGAGTAGTCGTCCGAGTCGGTGTCACTCTCGCTGCTGTCCTCCACCAGGAAGGCGGGGTAGTTCCAGGACATGCTGAGGATGCCGTCTGACTCGTGCAGGAGGATGTGGGCCAGCATCCGGCCGTGGCAGTCCATGACGATCACCTGCCCATCGGCGGTGCCAAACAGTACCTGCAGCAGAGGAGCGGAACCCCCGATGGGCGGGCAGCGAGGACAGCGGTTGTGGCCCCACCCCACCTCAACGTGTTCACAGGAGAGAATACCTTAGAACTGGAAGAAGAGACCAGTTAAGCAACAGGGATACACAAAACATGAAGTGGTAGAAACTTAGCTGGCCCTTACTAAGAAGAATTTTAGGCCTCTATTAGCGAAAGGGGACTAGTGCTGTAATAAATATGTTATGTGGATGCTTTTGAATAATGTCAAAATCACTGTGTCACATTTTTTTTTTTTAACCGTTTCACAATCTCTACTTTTATTGCCTAATTAGATTTTATTTCCATCTGGACAGCTTACTTTTTATTGGTGCGTGACGATATGATTTGTTTTTTGTTTTTCCTTCTGAACCCTGGATGAAAAGAAAACTCAGTTCTGGGAGGGATTGTCAGATAAGGGTACAGAATATGGTGAAATGGTGCTCGGTATCCTCAAAAAATTAGCAAAATCAATCCTAGAAGATCCCTTATTTGCCCTCTTGCTAGTTAATAAATAGACTGCTGGGGAAAGGGAGGAATAGATTCAAGGGCAAAGAAGGGTCCAGATGGGATGAGGAAAGCAGGGACAGGCGTGTCTACCCCACTCTCTCCTGCTCTCACTTACACCTATCCTCTAAATAAAGTAGTAGTAGACTTTACTGCTAAGTCACTTCAGTCATGTCCGACTCTGTGCGACCCCATCCCTGGGATTCTCCAGGCAAGAACACTGGAGTGGGTTGCCATTTCCTTCTCCAACTGTGTCACATTTTGTGGGTTGCTTTTTTTTTTTTCAGCTGGAGGAGCAGGGGTCAAGAAGAAGGTAATATTCTCTTATTTTTCTTAAAAAAAAAAAAAGCAGCAGCAGAGGATCATCGTATGCAAGTGTATGTAAGCAGGTTTGTCTTGTGTTCCATTTCACTGAGAACAGTAATGGGGTTGATGTATTTAAGTAATAGTGTTATAGTAAATTAATGGTATTAATATATTAAGTGCTTACTTTGTACTAAGCACAATTCTAACAAAGTTTACCTCATCGACTGAATAATTCTGGCAGCTAAGCCCCAGCACTGCTGGCATGAAGCTGAGACGCCTTGTGTGCTGAGGGCTGCTCCTGGGGGTCCTCTCAGTCACCTGCCCCGAGCACACACTCAGGTGTGTGCTGGGGTGCGAGTAGGCACATGGCCAGGGCTACAGCACAAGCAGGCAGAGGAAGGCTGGATGCGGGGGTGGAAGGGGATGGTGGGCGCCCTCCATCAGAGCGGCAGAGGAGCTGCTCACAGCTGCGGGAAGCCCCTGGCAGGCGTTGTTCTGACGGGTGGCCCTGAAGGCCCCTTGGAGCCCAGGAAGCAGAGCTCCCTAAGGACACCTGTGTTCTCTCCTATTACGTGTGCTGGGCCCTGCAGTGCCTGTGTGTTCTGGCACTGAAATCTTTGTATCTTTTGTGTCTAATGAGAATTCTCTAACCATCAGCAACTCATTGTGAGAACCACCCAAGTTATTTCCATTTTACAGATGCAGAAACAACAGAGCTCAAGTAAGCTGACAAAGTCATTATGTGGTCAAGCCAGGACTATCTACCTAGAAGGACCAGGATTTACATAAAGGGAAAGCTATTTAAGACTTTTAGGTCCATGCCTCTTTCTGCTTTTAAGATTGTGACACTGAGCTTCTGGAGGTCAAAGACTGTCCGTAGTTGTAGCCCCTGGGACCTAACAAGAGCTTTGGGTACAGTGGACATTAAATAAGTATTTACAGTTACATGAATAAGTTAAAGTCAGTGACAATCAGAAGGCAATCTTAGGACATAAATCCAGATGATTAAGACAGATTAATTAAACAGTAATAAGCTGACAGAATTTACAGAGCTGTGCAGATAAACCAACTGTCCATCGAATACTCCTTTAAACATGAGCTACATTTTAATGACTGGAATGTAAGAAAAAAAAAAAGGAAAGCTGGAACAGTTTTCCCTCAGGGCTCGTGATGAATCATTATTGAATGATGCTTACAGGAAAAAGAGATAAGTTGTACTAGGAACACAGTAAAAGTCATTTTAGGAAAAGTTGAATTCTTGGCTGCCAACATTGAAAATGAGTATCTACTAGCATGTCCACAAGGACCTCATGAGACATGGGCAGGGGGAGGCGGAGACAGCAGGTATCTCCTAAGCAGTCCGCAGTGCAGATGAAGGTGAAATGTGACCTCTTGTAACTTCAACTACAATCTACATATTTCAGAGGAAGAAGATGTATGGAAGTCCTCTAAAGCGACATCCCAGGATACAGGCTTTTATTCTCCAGTTCCCACATCCTCCCTCACTTGCTCAAGCATGTCTGAAGGGCAGCATCATACCTCGGAGTATGTGAAGGGGTTATTTCACCACTTATGACTTTGTTTCTCATAAACATAGCTCGTGAGCAGGCAACAGCAAACAGTCATTCTTCTCATGTACCCAGAATTAAAATGGATCAAACCCGAAAAGCTCCCTGGGCCCCTCCACTGTAGTTCCCCCAGTCTCCGCCGGCACGATGATCATCACTGTCCTTGTGTCCTACTGTGTGATTATCTGATCTGTCTGACTCCCACGCTGGACATAAGTTTTTGAGGACATGGACCGTGTCTGCTCTCGCTACGCTCTCCCCAGGGCCTGTCCTCGGATGACATACAGCAGCGCCTGCGAAGGCAGGGAGGAAACGAAGCATCGTTTAGGTAACACATTTTTCCATTTTGGAGAAGAACAGACACCATCTAATTCCTGAATGAGGGACTGGTGGCTTAACGAGTTTTCAGTGTTCAACATCACACTAAAACCAAAGAGGACAAGAAAACCAGCCTCCAAATTCCCCAGCATTAATCAGCTCTGACTGCAGCTCCCTTGGAAGTTAATTCACTATTAAGATCAGGGAGAAGGAAAAAGGCATCCCTAACGCTCGAGTTGTCAAGCAGCGATGGAGGAAGTTACCCTGTTTCGGAGCAAGTATGTCAGATAACTGAAGAACATGGATGTGACGTAAAATCAGATTTCTGAAAATCTCTTCTATTACAAGTCCTTTTCATGCTTAATCACTTTTAACGAGATAAAGCTTCTCCGAGCCAAGGACTTCAAAGGAACAAGACAGCAAAGTCTAAACAATACTGAATACACATATGGGCAAAAGCATCAGTCTCTGCAGCCTCTCCTCCCTAATTCTGGGGCTCTGGACAGACTGGTACGGCTCCTCTTGCCCGGGCTCGGTCTCCTCCTTGAGGCTTGGCCCAGACCCTTTCCCCTCTCTAGGAGGTCACAGTAATGTCTTTGGCCTGGCGTGCTCCCTGTCCAGGCCATTCCCCTAAGCTCCAGACTCACACACTCCAACTGCCTGCCAGCCGCCAACCCCCGGATGTGTTAAAGGCCAGGCCCATCAGAGCCAGCCTGTCCCGGATGAGGTGCACAACCTCGCCTGTCCCCTCTGCTGGCAGAGACTGTGGTCTGCGCTTTATCTCCGGGGTCCAGTGGCGGGGCCTGGTGTGTAACAGGTGCTCAGACATCGCGTGTCAAGGCTTTTGAGACCCACCACATAGAATTATTCTCACTCCAGCCATGGTGCGTACAGTACTCTGTTTCCGTGGTACCATGAGCTTCCTGAGGGCAGGTCTGCAGCCATAGGTTTTCACCTGCTGCCAGTCACCAGTGGATGCTCAGTGACTCTGAGTAAATGAATTTCTGCCCAGAGCTTTCGCCTTTGCCCAAGTATTCCTACACATGAACAGCTTCTTTCTTTTCTTCTTTTAACTAGATCAATGCTCAAATTTTCCCATAAAACTGGCCTCCAAAACACTTTTAGTTATGGATAATTTAGATTTCTGTCTCATATTTCCCCTACTATTTCTGTTGGACTGCAGGCTTCGCAGAGTGGTGGAGATAATGCTCCCTCTGTAATATGTACCCTAAGAACCAAGGTGGCAGAGACCTGCCAGCCCTTGGGGTTCAGTGGCTGTCCCTCAGGACAGGGGACGCTGCTTCAGGGCAGGGTTTAGTACCATGGCAATGGCTTTAAAAGCCTGTGGTGTCCACATACAATCTCTCCATCTAAACTATTTTCAGATGTAATCATTTTAAAATGTGACACAATTATTACCAGCAATTTAAAAAGAACTAAGCCACAGGAAGAAGACAGAAAAGCATTCAAAAGATTAATGTTTTGGAACCAGTGAGGATATATCATCAGTACCTTTATCTCTGGAGACTGGTCCTCACCTAAATTCTTGAATAAAGACCACGTTAGGAAATTTCAACTATAAAAATACATGCTTCTGTAAATGCAGTAGAGTTCAACGAGTAGCATACGAACTAGTCACAAAAGGAGTTGATTTTTCCCATTTATTTGCTTTTGTGATTTAAAGCTGGGGGAGAGGATGACAAAGTTATTATAAATTCCGACTATAGGCATACCTTATTTTATTATACTTTGCATATATTGTATTTTTTTTTTTTTAACCAAAAAGAAGGTTTGTAGCAACCCTGCATCAAGCTAGTCTGTTTGTGCTGTTTTTCCAGTATGATTTGGTTACTTTGGGTATCTGTGTAATATTTTGATAATTCTCAGAGTATTTCAAACTTTTTCATTATTATTTGTCATAGTGATCTGTGACCAGAGACCTTTGATTTTCCTACCGTAATTCTTTTGGGAAACCAGGCCCATGTGAGATGGTAAACTTGATTATTTACATGACAACAAAGGATCTGGGCTATGACATAAACCTAGCTGATGGAGCAGGGTTTGTGGGAACTGAATGATTTTGAAAGAAGTTCTCCTCTGTATAGAAAGCTATCAAATACAGCACTGCATGCTACAGAGAAATGGTTCATGAAAGGAAGAGCCAATTGATGTGGCAAGCTTCATTGCTGTCTCACTTTAAGAAGTGTCCTCAGCCACCCCCACATTTAGCAACCACCACCCTGAGCAGTCAGCAACCATCAACACTGTGACAAGGCGC